TCGCAGCAGTGAAGAATGGAAGGTGTGGAGTGAAGGCCTCAAGTGAAGGCGTGGCACAGGAGCCGCACAGCAGCGGAAGGAGCATTCGTGGTACGCGCCAGGGGGTGCTTGCAGGGGGGAGTGTAGTGAGTCGTAGAGTGTCACCGCGCAGAGGCAAGAGTCGTGTCTCTTGCTTTTACCTCTGCCACACCCCTGCTGCTGTTTCTAACCCTCCCTTGTTGGTGCCGCTTCTGTGTGCGTGTCTCTCTCCCCATGCGTGTGTGTGTGTGCCTCACGGCCTGCGAGCATGGGCAGCCGGAGCAACAGAGCAACCTGGAGCAACTTGGAGCAGCAGGCGTGAAGGGAGGGCGTGGTGCAGGAGTGGCAGAGCAGCGGACACAGTGTGGTACGCGCCAGGGGGTGTTTGCTCGGGGGAGTGTAGTGAGTCGTAGAGCGTCGCCGCGCAGAGGCAAGAGTCGTGTCTCTTGCTTTTGACTCCGCCACTCCCCATCTCTTGTTTCTAACCCTCCCTTGTTGGTGCCGCTTCTGTGTGCGTGTGTATGCCTCACTGCCTGCGAGGTGGACGCGGAATGGCAGCGAGCGGACGGGGAATCGACACGGCTGCCGTTGCTGGCTCGGACTAGAGACAACCAGGAGCAGCTCGCCTGAAGTGGAGGCGTGGTGCAGCAGCGGCAGAGTGCTGGACGGAGCGTGGTACGTGCACGGAGGGGTGCTTGCGGGGGGGGGGGGGCCGTGAAGTGAGTCACAGGGCGTCGCCGCGCAGAGGCAAGAGTCGTTGCTGCTGCTTGCCGCTCCACCACTCGCTTCCTGCTGCTTCTAACCCTCCCATGTTTCGCTGCTTCTGTTTGGCTGCCTCTCTCTCCCCATGCGTGTGTGTGCCTCACGGCTTCCGAGGTGGAGGGGAATGGCACAGCGTAGACGCGGAATGGCGCGGAGTGGCATGGGGTGGGCGCGGAATGGCATGGAGTGGGCGCGGAATGGCATGGAGTGGGCGCGGAATGGCATGGAGTGGCTTGCGTTGGTGCCTCGCTCGAGAGTCATCCCGAATTAGCACTTCCGTTGAAGTGAAGAGTCATCCCGAATCAGCACGCCTGAAGTGAAGGCGTGGCGCAGGAGTGGGACAGCAGTGGACTTAGCATGGTACGTGCCAGGGGGTGCTGGTAGGGGGGCCGTGAAGTGAGTCGTAGGGCGTCGCCGCGCAGAGGCAAGAGTCCTTTCTCTTGCCTCCACCACTCGCCTCATTTCCTACTGCTTCTAACCCTCCCTTTTTGCGCTGCTCTGTCTGCGTGCCTCTCTCCCCTTGCGTGTGTGTCCTTCGTGGCCTGTGAGGCGGAGGGGAATGGCGGGGAGTGGAGCGGGGGTGACAAGCCTGGGGGCTTAGTTCCGGCCCGACACACAGCAGCAGAGCTGGTGAGTGCAGCAGCGCTGGTGACTTGAAGCAGCAGTAGTAACAGCGCCTTGACTTTCCAGCCAAGTTTGTTCTCCTCTGAATGCTTTTGCCTTTTGTGATGCCAAGCGCTCATCACTTGTCATGCATGTGCTTCACTGCTTTCTCCTCTGAAATCTCGCCACTGGTTGGTTCTGGCCTGACTCACAAGCCACAGTCCCTTGTTATTGCAGGTATCAGCAGCAGACAACACGCAAGCTGGAGCAGCTTGCCTGACAGGAGTGGGAGAGCAGGAGTGGGAGAGCAGGAGTGGGAGAGCAGGAGTGGGAGAGCAGGAGTGGGAGAGCAGGAGTGGGAGAGCAGGAGTGGGAGAGCAGGAGTGGGAGAGCAGGAGTGGGAGCACGCCTGACACCTGGAGCACGGGCCACAGCAGGTGTTGCTTGGGGCGAATGTGTGGCGCAGGAGCGGCAGCCTCTGCTGAGGAGGAGAAGTGGTACGTGCAAGGGGGTGCTTGCAGGGGGGCCGTGAAGTGAGTTGTAGGGTGTCGCTGCGCAGAGGCAAGTGTCGTGTCTGTTGCCCTTGCCTACACCACTCGCCTCTTCTTCTGCTGCTCCTAACCCTCCCTTGTTGTCCCGCTTCTGTGTGTGTCTTTCTCCCCATGCGTGTGCGTGCCTCATGTCCTGCGAGGCGGCCGGGGATGGCAGCGAGTGGACGGGGACCATCGGTGGCTGCAGCGACTGCAGGGTGATGGTGAGCGCACTAGAGGTTGTGAGTGGATGAGATCAGGCACTTCACCGCTTCACTTCCCGCCATCTTCCTGCTTTCTGTGTCCCGTTCTCTCGTGTTTACCATCTTTCCATTGGGCGATGAGCTTTTGCAGCGGTGCCGTCAGCTGATCGTGCCACTCTTCTCGGATCCCTAACCCCTCCTCTCCTCCCTAACCCCTCCTCTCTTGTCCTCTCCTCCTCTCTGCAGCAACCGGTGGTTGCCACGACAGCAACGACAGCAGCAGCAGAAGCAGCAACGGAGCAACCATGAGCGCAGGCAGCGGCAGGGCGCTGCTTGGAGCCAAGGCTTGGCGCAGCAGCAACAGAGCAGCCTGGAGTAGCACGCTGGCAGACAAGGCGTGGTGCACGCAGAGCAGCAGGGTGGCGCGCGGAGCATGGTACGTGCCCGGGGTTGCTTGCGGGGGGGACGTGAAGCGAGTCATAGGGTGTCGCCGCGCAGAGGCAAGAGTCGTGTCTCATGTTCTTGGCTTTGCCACTCGCCTCCTCTCCTGCTGCTCCTAACCCTCCCTTGTTGCGCCGCTTCTGTGTGCGTGTTTTCTCTCCCCATGCGTGTGTGTGCCTCACGTCCTGAGAGACGGACGGGAATGGCGGCGAGGGGCTGTGCATGTGCGTGTGTGGGGAATGCGGGGAAGGGGGGTGGGGGTGTGCATGTGTGCGTGTGCGTGTGTGTGCGCCTGTGAGTGTTCCTCTCAGCCTTCAAGCTCTGGAGTGTGGCGGATTGCTCTTTGTGAACCTGCCTGCCCTTCGGTGGGGAGAGCAAGATTCTATCTCTTCCAAGATAAGAGGTAACTTGGAGTGAAGATGCAGCAGCAGGGCGAATGCACCGCGCGTTGCTTTTTTTCTTGGTCCCTTTGCAAGCTAGTCCCTTTGCAAGCTAGTCCCTTTGCTTGCTAGTCCCTTTCCAAGCTAGCATGTGCTCTTTCACATCCTCATGCCGCTCTTCCTCTTCCTTGCCATCCCTTCTCCCCTCATCTCCAGCACTCACGGAAGGCAATGGCTGCACTGCAGCAACCGCAGCATGATGGAAAGCAAGCACACAAGGACTCGTGAGTCAAGCACACCAGCTCAAGCACACCAGCTCAAGCAGACCAGCTCAAGCAGGTTACTGCTCCTCTATTCACCGTCTTCCTTCTTTCTGTGTTCCCTTCCGTCTTGTCTGCTATAGTCTTTGCTGCTGTGCTGTCATGTTTCCATGCCACTCTCTCAGCTCCCAAACCTCTCCTTTCCTGTCCTCTCCTCTTCTCTGCATCAACGCGGCGAGTGCAACAACTGCAGCAGCAGCAGCAGCAGCAGCGGACTACGAGCAACCTGGAGCACGGGCAGCAGCTTGGGGCGAAGGCTTGGCGCAGGAGCAACGGAGCAGCACGGAGCACACAGGCGTGGTGCAGGAGGCAGAGCGGCCGAGTGGCAAAGCGGCAGACGGAGGAGCGTGGTACGTGCCAGGGGGTGCTTGCAGGGGGGGCGTGAACTGTCATAGGGTGTCGCCGCGCAGAGGCAAGAGTCGTGTCGGTTGCTTGCGGGTCCACCACTCGCCACCTGCTGCTTCTAACCCACTTTTATGTGTGTGTGTCTCTCTCTCCCCATGTGTGTGTGTCTCTCTCTCCCCATGTGTGTGTGTCTCTCTCTCCCCATGTGTGTGTGTGTCCCTCTCTCCCCCTCTGTGTGTGTGTGTGTGCCTCGTGGCCTGCGAGTCTGCGAGACGGAGAGCAATGGCAGCACGTGGACGCCGCAAATGAAGGCGTGGAGAAAAACTGGGAGAGCAGCGCACGGAGCGTGGTACGTGCCAGGGGGTGCTTGCAGGGTGGCCTTGAGTTGAGTCGTAGGGTGTCGCCGCGCAGAGGCAAGTGTCGTGTCTGTTGCCGTTGCTTCCGCCACTCGCCTTTTGCTGCTTCTGACCCTCCCTTGTTGTGCCTCGTGTGTTGTGGCGGTCTCTCTCTCCCCATGCGTGTGTGTGCCTCATGTCCTGCGAGACGGATGGGAATGGCAGCGAGTGGACGGGGACTGTGCATGTGCGTGTGGGGGAAAGGGGGGTGGGGGGTGGGGGTGGCCACGTGTGATGAGGTTGTTTTTGAGACGTCTCAAAAACAACCTCATCTCACGTGTGGGGGAAAGGGGGGTGGGGGGTGGGGGTGTGCACGTGTGCATGCCTCTGAATGTGCCTCTCAGCCTTCAAGCTCGTGGCAGATTGTTCGTGCTGCAGGAGTGGGAGAGCATTGGATGGAGCATGGTACGTGCCAGGGGGTGCTTGCAGGGGGGCCGTGAAGTGAGTTGCCGCGCAGAGGCAAGAGTCGTGTCCCTTGGTTCTTGTTTCTGCCACTCGCCTCCTCTCCTGTTGCTCCTAACCCTCCCTTCTTGCGCCACTTCTTTGTGTGTCTTTTGTCTCCCCGTGATTGTGAGGACGGGGGGGAGGGGGGGGGGAAGGGGTGGAAGGGTAGGGGTGGAAGGAGGGGGGTGGGAGGGGTAGAGGAGGGGGTGGGGTGGGGGGACGGCTCCTGTCCTTGTTTGCGTGTGTGTGTGCTTGCCTGTGAGTGTGTCTCTTAGGCTCCAAGCCGTGGAGTGCGTTGTGCATCGGTGGGATGGGGACAACATTTGTTCCTCCTTGTGCAAGACGAGAGTGACGATGCAGCAGCAGGTGAGCGCATCCTCCATTGCGTCTTGTCTCAGTGCCTTCCTTCTCCAGCTGCCATCTGCCATCTATTCTGGCTTGTCCGTGCTCTTTCACATCCCCACCCGCTCATCCACTCCACTCGCTTCTCCTCTCCTTTCTCACTTCCGTCTTCCTCTTCCCTGCCATCCTTGCTCCCCTCGCTGACAGCAACTGTAGGATGCTGGCAGGCACACAAGCAGTGGTGGTGGCACCAGTAGTTGCAGCATCAACGCCCACTGCACTGGTTGCAGCTGCAGCAATGGAGGGGTGATTACAGTCTACCCTATGCTTCCAAATTCCCTCTATTTGTTTGTTGTTTAACATCGCTTGTGTTCGTCTCTTGACTCCAGTACCTTACTCGTTTCCCGTCATCCCTTCTCCCCAGCCCTCCCTCCTATCTTTTCTGTATCGTAAAATTATGGTGCCCTCGCCTCCCCCCCCCCCTATCCCTTCATCCATGCCCTTGTATCCTATCGTTGTTGCGACCTTGTTTTCTTGCCTTCTCCATGTCCCATTGCTCTCTCTGGCAGCATCCGTGGGGGAAGCACTGGCAGCAACAGCAGTTCTGCGTATTACACATGGTACCGGTAGGTGTGATGGGAGATTTGGCAAGGGGAGTTGCTGACCTTGTTACCGTACTTTTCTCACTTTGTGCTCGCCTTTCAATGGCGATTTGACGTGAATACAACACACAACTAATCTCTGCCGTCTGATCGTCTTCGTTTCTGCAGCTTCTTAGTGGCTCCTTTTTCGTTTTCTTTTTCTTTTTCTTCCTTCCGTGCCCCGTTGCTGCCCCGGTGGCAGCTTCTCCTTGTGAGTGGCTCTTGTATGCTCAAGTGCAGGGCGAGGTGGAGGGCATGCGAGGTGGAGGGCATGTGGGGTGTGGTGGGGTGCCGCTTGCTGGTGTGCTGCCGCTGAGAGGACATGTGGACAAGGTGGACCATCAAGAGCTCAGAATGGACCGCTGCTGTGCTTTGCTTTGCTTATCTGTCCTTAGCTGTGCCAAGGTTTGCTTAGGTGTGCTTAGGTTTGCGTAGATGTGTTGTGCTGTGCCGGGCTGGGATGGGCCTGCATATTGTGGGATACGTGGGTGGGGTGGGCAGCCTCGAAGTGCCTGGGCACAACAACACCCAAGCAGGTGCTGTGCCGTGCCAGGCAGCCACAAACGTGGAAACGCAGGGCACTGAAGCATGCGCTGCATGCAGCATGCATGCACAAGCAGAACAGGCCACCACCAAGAGGTCATGTCTAAGGAGACAGGCAAACCCCTCTCACACAGAAGTGCTGATGGCAGGGACTGACAGGAAGCAGGGTTGTCACAGATTGTGCAGGAATGGACAGATGCCATGGCTATCAATCAATCAGCCAATCCAACAAGCAGCCAAGCAGCAAGGCAGCCAAGCAGCCAACCAGTCAACCAACTCTCCAGCCTACCAGCCAACTAGCTAACCAGCCTGCTTCACCTCAGCCATCCAGAAAACCAGTCAAACAGCCTATCCCATATCCTTGCATCCTGGCCTCAAGATTCAACAGGGCAACTGTACACAGGCAGTGGGTGGGTCCTATAGAGTTGTGAATTCAAAACACGCACTCCATGGTGGCCCATGACTGCATTTGCAGCTGTGAAACCAGTCAGTGAGGTAAGTTTCACAATTGTGCGAGAGTTGCTATTTGGGGTGTGGTGATAACTGGGAATCAATATGTTCACATCACATTGACATGCAATTATAAGGGCTGACATTGTGGAGGCACTCTAATTTCCCCTAGAAATACTGTACTCCGCGTAATCCCATTTGGACCTGTATTTATCAATTATCCCTTCAGTAAATTTGATATCTCAAGGTTCTGGAAAGAGAACTTTTCTATAATGTTGAAGGATTTATCAAAGTGTGTATAGATGTTTTCCATAAATTTGATCGTACGTTGTTTAATCAAGATCTGCATACACTTCTGGCTCTTTTGCAATATGCCTGCACTAGCTACCAGGCCATCAGAAACGGCCTTTTCCCGCCCGATTTTGTCACACACAGCCTGGCTCAGACAGTCGAACTATGTTCGGACGGAGGAATAAACTAGAAACAGCTTCAGTTTCCTGTCTTCCTCTTGTCATTCAGCTGGCTTGTCCGGTCAGTGAGAATCATGGACCATCGAAATAGCAGTTTGTAGCTGAGGTCGACGCGCAAAGCGCTAGGTCTGCGTAAGGACAGCTGAGCGAAGCCAGGTGTCGCCAAGAGGCGATAGATCAAGGCGTAGTAGCGCGGCATGGGGGATCCAGGCGATCCGTTTTCGCTCGACCTGCACGGGGCGGGCGCGTCCACGCTGCGCGCCGTCGTGCGCGACAAGCTCGCCGATTTCTCAGAGAGCTTCACCGACGACGTGCTCGCGGTACGCGTTTCCGAGAGGTTAGATACGGTTTCAAAGTGTTAGGTACGGTTTCGTGGCGTTACGTGCTGTTTCATGGGAAATCGTCCGATCCCGTAGCGCTGTATACGCATTTATGGCGGCTGTGGGTATAGGATAGCATCAGTACGTCCACTAATGAGTTGACTGTTGACTCGACTCAAATGTCAACTCGCATTCGTAGCGGCTGTACGTATAGAATTAGAATAGCAGCAGTGCGTATACGAATCTAGCCATGCGTCGATACGTCGTACGAGAACTAACTTTTTTGAAAGATTGACGGCGTATTGGCGACGCGGAGTGATCGTAAGCATCGACGTGGCCCCCGATCTACGGTCGTCGTTCGCGAATGATCGCCTTTCGCGATCTCCACGTCGCCGAAAGATCCGACGCCAATCGAATCCGTCCGTATTTCCGCTTCTTTACTCTCCGTAGGAAGTGGTTCCTTATTGCTAATTGCCTCTGTTTCTCAGTGAACCGTACGGTCTTATGAACCACTGCTTGTCTTAGCTGCTCGTTTTTTAACCACACACTACTGAACAAAGACGATCTTTGTGTCGTTTCCGTAGTTGCCTCGACATAGCCGCTCGTTGTTGAACCTAGCATTTCTGAGCAGCGGCGAGTGAAAATCAAGCACTCTCTTCTTCTTGCTCAGACGAGCCGTGCTTGGATGTTTGATAGCATTTAGTAGACTAGGGAATAGTTAATCTTTCCTTTGTTTTTCAATCCTATGCTTGACTGAACCCTGGCAGAACTCTGACTAAGATGCGCCCTCGTCGCCGCCCTCGATAATCTCAATTCTTAATATTTGAAGTTCATTGAATCTGGACATCCCTCCCATTCCCCTTGCAGGAGTACGTGGTGGTGCTGGTGGCGCACGGCAAGCCCAAGAGCCACGCAGCAGAGGATCTCGAGGCCTTTCTGGGCGACCAAACTGCTGCCTTTGTCGACTGGTGGGTGCTGTTGGTCGAATGGATATGTTGTTTTGCTGCTGGATGGGTCATTGCGCTGTGCGGCACTGTAAGCCTCCGTTACTACGGCAAACAATTCGTTGTTCAACCTGTGTCTCTCCCCGTTTTGCGCAATGTTTCCTTGCATCGTGTCTCTGAATCATTGATGGGCCATCTGTTCCCTCCCTTGTCAGGCTGTGGGCTCACCTGTCCGCCAACATTGGGAAATACAACGCGGCCGTTGCTCCAGATGCGGATGGTGCAGGCAAGGATGGGAAGGAAGTGCCCGCAAAGGAGGAGGGGAAGCGAGACGAGGTGACGCGAGACGAGGGACGAAGGAGGGAGGCTGGTGAAGTGAGGGAGGATGGCGGAGGGGTGTGGGAGGAGAGGGGGAGGGAGGAGAGGGGACGAGATGGGAGAGGGAGGGAAGAAAGGGGGAGAGAGGAGAGAGGGAGGGAAGAGAGGGGGAGAGAAGTGAGAGGGCGGAGCAGGGAGAGGAGTGGTGAAAGAGGTGGGGAGAGAGGTGGGGAGAGAGGTGGGGAGAGAGGTGGGGAGAGAGGAATGAGCGAAGAGAGGGAAAGAGGATGGAGCAAGGAGCGCGAGAAGGGAAGGGACAGAGACGGGAGAAACCTGGTTGGAAGAACGGAGTCGTGGAAGGGCAAGAGAGGAAGGGATGGGGCTGTTGGTGGGCGTGAGGAAGAAAGGGGGACGGGGTATGTGGAGAGAGGGAGGCGATATGAGGAGAGAGGGAGGGGATATGAGGAGAGAGGGAGGGGATATGAGGAGAGAGGGAGGGGATATGAGGAGAGAGGGAGAGGGTATGAGGAGAAAGGGAGGGGATATGATGAGGAGAGGGGACGGGGGTATGAGAAGAGAGGGCGGCTGTATATGGACGAGGTACGAGGGACGGAGGGCGAGGAGGAAAGGGGGGATGAGAGGAGAACGGCGCGGGGGACGGAGAGGGGAATTGAGAGGGATGTGTGGGCGCGTCGGGGTGGGTCTAGATCGTGGTCTCCTCCTATAAAGCGGGAGGAGAGGGAGCAGCGGAGGGAGGAGAGGGTAGAGGAGGGCGCGAGGAGGATGGAGGAGACGTGGGGTGGGGGATTGGATAGGGAGGAGTCGAGGGGTGCGGAACTGGGAAGGGCGGTTAAGAGGCGGGTGACAGGGGAAGGGGGCGGTGAGGAGTGGCGGGGGAGGCATGAGGGGGAGAAGCAGGGGGAGGAGGGGCGGCGGGAGAGGGTGGTGCGCGCGGAGAGGCATGGGGAGGAGGAGCGGGCGCGCATGAGGCGGCTGTTTGGTAGTAGCCTGGGTGAGGGGGCGCGGAGGCGGGCGACTGCGGATGGGGGGAGGGCGGATGGGGGAGAAAGAGGATTGGTGCAGAGACGGACAGAGGGAGCAGAGGGGGCGGAGGGGGCGGAGGGATCAGGACTGGAAGGCAGCGCGGAGGCTGTGAGGAGGAAAGGGCGTGGGGCGTTTGCTTCGGTGGGAGCGAGTGAGAGGCGAATGGAGGGCGAGGAGGAGAGGTGGCAAGGGGAGGAGGGTGTGGGAGTAGGGGGGGAGGAGGAGCAAGAGGGAGGGGAAGGTGTGCGGAGAGGGGATGGGAGGGGAGGGGATGGGAGGGGAGGGGATGGGACACATGGAGGGGCGGCAGGAGGGCAGATTGCTGGGAAGAGAGGGCGGCAAGTGAGCGGGGGAGCCAGGGGATTGGGCAGCAGGTTGTGGCAGTTTGCGGTGAGAGATGCTGTGAAGCCTGTGAGGGAGGTGAGGGTTCCTGCTCACGCCCATGGTGCCACTCCCACTGCGGCTGCACCTCTTGCTGCTGCTGCTGCTGCTGCCGTTGCGAGCGGTAATGGTGAGCAGCAGGAGGAGGCGACAAGGGCAGTGGAAGTGAGGGCGACGAGGGAAGTAAGGCGAATCGTCGTGTCTGCACCTAGCCGCTCTGCCGTTCAAAGCGCTCACCTCGACGCCCCCCCTGCTGCCTCCGGTGGTCCCTCTCCTGGTGCTGTGAAGGCTGCTGCTGCTAGAGTAGCTAGTGATGAGGAGGAAGAGGAGGAGGAGCGGGTGGCAAGGGCAGAGGAGAGAAGGGATGTGGAGAGAGGAGTGGAAAGAGGAGTGGAGAGAAAAGAGAAGAGGGAAAAAGATAGAGGAGAGGAGGGAGAAGAAGAGGGGAGAGAAGAGGAGGGACTGGAGGAGGAGGAGGAGGGGCGTGGGGCGCGGAAGCGGTTGCGGTCAGTGGTGGTGTCTCTTCCTGCTGACGCCCCTCGCCGGATCAAGGCAGTGCGGAGGCAGGGGAGGGAGGCGAGTGGGGGCGAGGAGGCAGAGGAAAGAGCAAGAGGAGATTCAAGAGGTGGAGCAGTGGCAGGTGCAGGTGGGGGGGAAGGGAGAGTAGCAGATGATGCGGAGGGGAGAGAGGGGGCGGAGAAGGAGGGTGGTAGAGGGAGTGTGTGGGCGAGGTTGGGCAAGCGATGTGTGCAGAGGGGTGGAGATGGGCGGATAGTGGTGCAGAGGCAAGCGGGGCTTGGGGAAGAGCATGGGGAAGGGTTTGAAGGGTTTATGAGTGGGTATGGGGAAGGGTATGGGGGAGAGTATGGGGAAGGATACCGGGGAGAGTATATGGATGGGTTGAGAGGAGTTGAGCAGGGTATGTGGGGAGAGGGAGTAGAGGGGTGGGGCGATGGGAAAGGAGGAGAGGGAGGGGGGATGCGAGTGAGGTTTGGAGGAGAGGGGGAGGAAGACGAGGAGGAGGACGAGGAGGAAGAGGAGGAGGAAGAGGAGGAGGGGATTGAGGGCGTGGGAGGAGAGATGCAGGCAGGGGCAAGGGAGGGGTGAAGAGAGGAGGAGGAAGCAGGGAGGGAGGCGTGAGGAGGATATTTGTGCGGGAGGACTTGATTCAAAGGGGCGTGCTTGTGAATGGCATGGGCATGGGCATGGGCATGGGGCCGGGTATGGGTATGGGTATGGGTGCGGGGATGGGGATGGGGATGGGTTTGGCCGGGCAAAATGTAGGTCTGGTGATCGTTCCTGCTGTGCAGAACCACCAGCTGTTGCAGCCGGTTCAGCACCAGCAGACCTTGCAGCAGGCACAACAGTATGAGCAACAGGCGCTGCAGTCAACCCAGCAGCAGCAGCAGCAGCAGCAAAGGCCGCAGCTGCAGCAGCGGCAGTGGCTCAGGGTGCCTACCCAGCCACAGCAGCAGCAGGACAGCACACAGGGACAGCAGGCGCTAGAGAATCAAAAGCAGCAGCAGGGTTCAGGTCGGCCAATGATTGCGGCACACGTGGCAGGTGGAGTGGGGAGGGGGCAGGAGGAGGGCGGAGTGCGGCGGTCTTGGCCTGGCGCTGGTGTTGTGGGTGCGCAGGGGAGGGGCGGGCAAGGCAGCATGGGGCGGGGCAGGGGAAGCATGACGTGGGTGGCAAAGAGGGAAGATAAAGAGACAGAGAAGGAGAAGGAGAAGGAGAAGGAGAAGGAGAAGGGGAGTAGAGTCAGCCCAGTGGGTCAGAAGCAGGTGCGCATTTTTGCTTATGCAAGATGTGACTGTCGTATTTTAAGCTGACTCAAGAATGTCCCCAAAGCTTCCTTAGATTTACCTAAAATCTTTGGAATTCCCCCCCCCCCCCCCCCCCCCCCATTGATTTCCTCTCTTTGTCGCTCATTTTCCCACGCACTCACTCATTTCCTCAACCTTTGCTCATTTCCTCACAACCCCCCACCTCAATCGACCCACACCACACACGCTGTACAGTGTGGCAGGAAGAGGTGACCCTTAAAGCCAACTTCAAAGCTGACTTGTGATCAAACCCCTCCGCTTGCGCACTTCCTCTCTCACTCCCTCATTCCACTTCCTCTCTCACTCCCCCTCATTCCACTTCCTCTCTCACTCCCTCATTCCACTTCCTCTCTCACTCCCGTTCCACTTCCTCTCTCACTCCCTCATTGCACTGCCCTCTCTCACTCCTCATTCCACTTCCTTCTCACTCCCTCATTCCACTTCCTCTCTCACTCCCTCATTCCACTTCCTCCTCTCTCACTCCCTCATTCACTTCCTCTCTCACTCCCTCATTGCACTGCCTCTCTCACTCCCTCATTCCACTTCCTCTCTCACTCCCTCATTCCACTTCCTCTCTCACTCCCGCATTCCCACTTCCCTCTCTCACTCCCTCATTCCACTTCCTCTCTCACTCCCTCATTCCACTTCCTCCTCCTCTCTCACTCCCCATTCCACTTCCGCTCTCACTCCCGCATTCCACTTCCTCTCTCACTCCCTCATCCACTTCCTCTCTCACCCCTCATTCCACTTCCGCTCTCACTCCCTCATTCCACTTCCGCTCTCACTCCCTCATTCCCACTTCCTCTCTCACTCCCTCATTCCACTTCCTCGCTCACGCCCGCATTCCACGGCCCTCTCACTCCTCCCTCATTCCACTTCCTCTCTCACTCCCTCATTCCACTGCCTCTCTCACTCCCTCATTCCACTTCCTCTCTCACTCCCTCATTCCACTTCCTCTCTCACTCCCTCATTCCACATCCTCGCTCACTCCCTCATTCCACATCCGCTCTCACTCCCCTCATTCCACTTCCTCTCTCACTCCCTCATTCCACTCCTCTCTCACTCCCTCATTCCACTCTTCCTCTCTCCTCCCCTCATTCCACTTCCTCTCTCACTCCCTCATTCCACTTCCTCTCTCACTCCCTCATTCCACTTCCTCTCTCACTCCCTCATTCCACTTCCTCTCTCACTCCCTCATTCCACTTCCTCTCGCACTCTCCCTCATTCCACTTCCTCTCTCACGCCCTCATCCACTTCCTCTCTCACTCCCTCATTCCACTTCCTCTCTCACTCCCTCATTCCACTTCCTCTCTCACTCCCTCATTCCACTTCCTCTCTCACTTCCTCCTCTCCCCTTTTCCTCTCTCACTCCCACTCCTCATTCCACTTCTCTCTCACTCCCTCATTCCACTTCCTCTCTCACTCCCCATTCCACTCCCTCCTCTCACACTCCTCATTCCACTGCCTCTCTCACTCCCTCATTCCACTTCCTCTCTCACTCCCTCATTCCACTTCCTTCTCACTCCCTCATTCCACTTCCTCTCTCACTCCCTCATTCCACTTCCTCTCTCACTCCCTCATTCCACTTCCTCTCTCACTCCCTCATTCACTTCCTCTCTCACTCCCTCATTCCACTCCTCTCGCACTCACTCCCTCATTCCACTTCCCTCTCTCACTTCCCTCACTCTCACTCTCCCCCTCTCACTACTTCCTCTCTCTCACTCCCTCACTCCACTCACCTCCCCCTCATTCCACTTCCTCTCTCACTCCCTCATTCCACTTCCTCTCTCACTCCCTCATTCCACTTCCTCTCGCACTCCCCATTCCACTTCCTCTCTCGTCACTCCCCACTTCTCTCAACTCCCACTCCTCTTCCGCTTCTCGCCCTCATTCCACTCCTCTCTCACTCCCTCATTCCACTTCCTCTCTCACTCCCTCATCCACTTCCTCCTCACTCCCTCATTCCACTTCCTCTCTCGCACTCCCTCATTCCACTTCCTCGCTCACTCACCCCTCATTCCACTTCCTCTCTCACTCCCTCATTCCACTTCCTCTCTCACTCCCTCATTCCACTTCCTCTCTCACTCCCTCATTCCACTTCCTCTCTCACTCCCCTCATTCCACTTCCTCTCTCACCCCTCATTCCACTTCCTCGCTCACTCCCGCATTCCACTTCCTCTCTCACTCCCTCATTCCACTCCTCTCTCACTCCCTCATTCCACTGCCTCTCTCTCACTCCCTCATTCCACTTCCGCTCTCAGCCCGCATTCCACTTCCTCTCTCACTCCCTCATTGCCACTGCCGCTCTCACTCCCCATTCCACTTCCTCCTCTCACTCCCTCATTCCACTTCTCTCTCCACTCCCTCATTCCACTCCGCTCTCACTCCCTCATTCCACTTCCTCTCTCACTCCCTCATTCCACTTCCTCTCTCACTCCCTCATTCCACTTCCTCTCTCACTCCCTCATTCCACTTCCTCTCTCTCACTCCTCATTCCACTTCCTCTCTCACTCCCTCATTCCACTCCTCTCTCACTCCCTCATTCCACGTCCCTCTCACTCCCTCATTCACTTCCTCTCTCACGCCCTCATTCCACTTCCCTCTCTCACTCCCTCATTCCACTTCCTCTCTCACTCCCTCATTCCACTGCCTCTCTCACTCCTCATTCCACTTCCCTCTCTCACTCCCTCATTCCACTTCCCTCGCTCACTCCCTCATTCCACTTCCTCTCTCACTCCCTCATTCCACTTCCTCTCTCACTCCCTCATTCCACTTCCTCTCTCACTCCCTCATTCCACTTCCTCTCTCTCCCGCATTCCACTTCCCTCTCACTCCTCATTCCACTTCTCTCGCACTCCCCTCATTCCCACTTCCTCTCTCACTCCCTCATTCCACTTCCTCTCTCACTCCACCTCATTCCACTTCCTCTCTCACTCCCTCATTCCACTTCCTCTCTCTCACTCCCTCATTCCACTTCCTCTCTCACTCCCTCATTCCACTTCCTCTCTCACTCCCGCATTCCACTGCCTCTCTCACTCCCTCATTCCACTTCCTCTCTCACTCCCTCATTCCACTTCCTCTCTCACTCCCTCATTCCACATCCTCTCTCACTCCCTCATTCCTTCCTCTCTCACTCCCTCATTCCACTTCCCTCTCACTCCCTCATTCCACTTCCTCTCTCACGCCTCATTCCACTTCCTCTCTCACTCCCTCATTCCACGTCTCGCTCACTCCTCATTCCACTTCCTCTCACTCCCTCATTCCACTTCCCTCACTCCCTCATTCCACTTCCTCTCTCACTCCCTCATTCCACTTCCTCTCTCACTCCCTCATTCCACTTCCTCTCTCACTCCCTCATTCCACTTCCTCTCTCACTCCCTCATTCCACTTCCTCTCTCACTCCTCATTCCACTTCCTCTCTCACTCCCTCATTCCACTTCCTCTCTCACTCCCTCATTCCACATCCTCCTCACTCCCTCATTCCACTTCTCTCTCACTCCCTCATTCCACTCCACTTCTCTCTCACTCCCTCATTCCACTTCCACTTCCTCTCACTCCCTCATTCCACTTCTCTCTCACTCCCTCATTCCACTTCCTCTCTCACTCCCTCATTCCACTTCCTCCTCTCACTCCCTCATTCCACTTCCTCTCTCACTCCCTCATTGCACTGCCTCTCTCACTCCCTCATTCCACTTCCTCTCTCACTCCCTCATTCCACTTCCTCTCTCACTCCCTCATTCCACTTCCTCTCTCACTCCCTCATTCCACTTCCTCTCTCACTCCCTCATTCCACTGCCTCTCTCACTCCCTCATTCCACTTCCTCTCTCACTCCCTCATTCCACTTCCTCTCTCACTCCCTCATTCCACTTCCTCTCTCACTCCCTCATTCCACTTCCTCTCTCACTCCCTCATTCCACTTCCTCTCTCACTCCCTCATTCCACTTCCTCTCTCACTCCCTCATTCCACTTCCTCTCTCACTCCCTCATTCCACTTCCTCTCTCACTCCCTCATTCCACTTCCTCTCTCTCCCTCATTCCACTTCCTCTCTCACTCCCTCATTCCACTTCCTCTCTCACTCCCTCATTCCACTTCCTCTCTCACTCCCTCATTCCACTTCCTCTCTCACTCCTCATTCCACTTCCTCTCTCACTCCCTCATTCCACTTCCTCTCTCACTCCCTCATTCCACTTCCTCTCTCACTCCCTCATTCCACTTCCTCTCTCACTCCCTCATTCCACTTCCTCTCTCACTCCCTCATTCCACTTCCTCTCTCACTCCCTCATTCCACTTCCTCTCTCACTCCCTCATTCCACTTCCTCTCTCACTCCCTCATTCCACTTCCTCTCTCACTCCCTCATTCCACTTCCTCTCTCACTCCCTCATTCCACTTCCTCTCTCACTCCCTCATTCCACTTCCTCTCTCACTCCCTCATTCCACTTCCTCTCTCACTCCCTCATTCCACTTCCTCTCTCACTCCCTCATTCCCCCACAACATGTCTTCCGTGTGGCAGGAGAGTGTGGAGGTAATGAGGCAGCGGCTGCAGCAGATGCAGGAGGAGATGCGGCGGATGAAGGCGCTGCAGGAGAAGGCTGCTGCTGCTGCTGCCACTGCTGCTGGTGCTGCTGGTGCTGCTGCTGCTGCTGCTGCTGCTGCTGGTGCTGCTGCTGCTGGTGCTGGTGCTGCTGGTGCTGCTGGTGCTGGTGCTGCTGGTGCTGCTGCTGCTGGTGATAAGGCTGCTGCTAAAGCTAGTTTGGCAACGAGCAGTGCTGATGCTGCACCCTCTAAGCCCACAGGTACGGGCCGGCCCCTTGTGTCTGCTCATTCTTACGCTAATTCACTTATTACCGGGCCGGGCGGGCTCCATGCGTTTCACCCCTGCTGCCTCTGCTACGTTCTCTTTGGCCCTTCCCCAAAGCCTCTTTACTGTGTTACCACGTGTTTCCATGGCCCTGCTTACCTGTCTGTATTCCGCCCCTTTTTCATTCCTCTCTCCTCCACTATTTTCTCTGCCTCCACTATCCCGCACGCTTAACATGTATCTGGTCTATCAAGCTCATCTCTGTTTCTGCTTCTTGCTTCCCCCCTCACTCTCGCTTCTCCTCTTCTCCCCGTTCCCTCCTCTCTTCCACTCGTTCTGTGCATCATTCACAGCTGCTGCTCACCCCAACGACACATTGTCAACCTCACCGCACTCCACCGCACTGCACACCCACGCACCCACGCCCATGCGGAAGTCCCTTTCCTCAGGAGACGCTGATGATCGCTCTGTGCTCGTCTCCAATGTGAGTTTCACCCTGCTTAGTTTCACCCTGCTTCTCTGGAACAACATTCACTTTACCGCATTTGACCGTGCTGCACTTGACTACACCGCACTCCACCGCACTGCACCACCCACCCACCAAGTCTCCCTGACGGGGACGCTGATAGTCACTCTCTGCTCGTCCCCACTCTTGAGCTCCCCTTTCTCCTGCTCCTCTGCAACATCATACACTGCAGCGCACCCCACTACACCGCACTGCACATCACCTCACCTAACCTCATTTGTGCCATCAACACTTCCCTTCTCATTGCACGTGTGCCCGTGCACGTCTGCCCGTGCACGTCTGCCCGTGCACATGTGCCAGGACACAGGGCTATTGCGTTTTAAGATGTCTCCCCTCTGCTCTCTGCTCTCTCCCCTCTCCCCTCTCCCCTCTCCTCTCCCCTCTCCTCTCTCCACTCCGCCCTCCGCCCTCCGCCCTCTCCTCTCTGCTCTCTCCTCTCCACTCCGCCCTCCGCCCTCCGTCCTGCCATTCCTCCTCGCAGGTGCATTTTGCAGCAACGGTGGCAGCACTGACCCTCCACTTTGCTGCGTGTGGGGAGATCCGCCGAGTCACCATGCTCACTCATCCCCTCACCGGCCGCCCCAGAGGGTAATCATTGCCACCTGCTGCCTCTTGCCTCTTGCTTGGTTGCTTGCGCCTGGCCCTTTCATGCAACCTGCTATCATACTGTAGTCTTTTTGTGAGTCCACTCAAAACCCATTTTTGAGTTGACTTAAAATATGCTGTAGCAGCTACTTGCTATTTTATCGCTGTTAAGGTCAACGTCAGCCTGCTTCTGAATCTGCAACGAGTCTGTGTTGCCACGTGTCAACTCTAGACTCTTGCATTCCTGCTTCCCATTCTCTTCCCATTCTCTTCCCATTCTCTTCCCATTCTCTTCCCATTCTCTTCCCATTCTCTTCCCATTCTCTTCCCATTCTCTTCACATTCTCTTCCCATTCTCTTCCCATTCTCTTCACATTCTCTTCCCATTCTCTTCCCATTCTCCTCCCATTCCTTCCCCTGAAATCATACAATGTTGCCATGCCTACTTTTCGCTCCTCCACCTTCGCCGACTTTCCACAGATGTGCTTATATCGAGTTCGCCACTAAGGAAGCGGTCGACAAGGCCCTGGCACTCAACGATGCTTCGTTTATGTCACGTCCACTAAAGGTAATCCCACCTCTTTGATACTCTTTGCCCCCTTCCACCCTGTCTGGTAAGTATGTTTTTGAGGCGCCTCAGATTCAGACTCTTTGATAGTCTCTGCCTCGTTCCATCCACCTTTTTTGGTAAGTAATTCACGTGGGGTGCTCAACACGTCTCAAGGCATAGAAATGAACAAACCCCACATGGCAATGAGGCACGCTTTTTGGGAAAAGGTCGAAATTTGACCTCAAAAAAATGAGGTCATGAGTCTCACGCAAAGTTAGGTCATGTGATTCCCATGGCCCTGAGGCCTTCACCAGTCCCACATGGCCCTGGGGCCTTCTTCAGTCCCACATGGCAATGAGCCACTTCCCCCATCCTTGCTCCTAAACCACCTTCCTCCACTCTCCTGTCATTCCTGCATCCTAAGCCTGTAAAAACGAATACCAATACGAATATTTTTTCACCCTATTCTCCGAATAATGCGTGGTTTCTTATTTGACCGAATACTGACCCAAAACCGAATACGAATACGATACGAATACTGACTCAAAACCGAACACGAATACGATTCGAATACTGCAGAATTCGAATCGAATACGACTAAGTTTCAAAAATAAATCTTGTAGAGGCAGTGTCAAACAGGTAATGCATGTTCGACACAGGGTGATACAATGTACCTTATACTACCAACATCACGACTCAACCCCTGTCCAGCTACTATCACAGACTGCCAACGATGATAGCCGCATGAAGGGAAAGTATGGGGGGGGTAATGGTAGAATATCGAATAGTAACGAATACCTCGAATATTCGTTACCCGAATATTCTACATTCACGAATACCCGTGATGCAAATATTTTCGATTACATGGTCGTTTCTTATTCTCTCGAATTCAGGTATTCGAACGAATATCGAAGAGTTCTCGGATACCGAATATTCTTTTACAGGCTTACTGCATCCCCTCCTCTGACCCTCAGGCCATCCACAAGCCCCACGCAGCAGTGGAGGCACTCACCTCTGCAGCAGCACTCGCACCAACCATCGCTCCTACTCTCCACCCCAGTACTCACATCCCCTTCCTTCCTTCCTCCCTTCCTCCCTTCCTCCCGCCATTCCACCCATCCCCTCCTCTTACCCGCAGATCGTCCACAAGCCCCATGCAACAGTGGAGGCGCTCCCCTCTGCTACGGCACCACCCATCACTCCCACGCGCCCTGCTCGCCCACTCCTCACGCCCACCAAGCCCCTTTCTCCTGCTGTAGCCACCAGCCCCACAGCCCTCGCCTCCCCCTCAGCACGTCCCGTGAAAGCACAAGGTGCTCGCCGGCCGTCTGCCAGAGGTAGCTTGCAGTGGAGGAGACAGCCTGAGGTGCCTGCTGCTGCTGCTGCTGCTGCTGGCGCTGCTCCTCCTGCTACTGAAGCTAAGGTTGAGGGCAGGGGTGGTGTGATAGGCAATGCGAAGGAAGCTGTGCCTGATGCGGTGCAGCAAACGGCAGCGCCTTCTGCACCTGCAGCAGCAGCTGCTGCTGTTAAAGCAGGCGAAATCAAGGGGTGATTGTGGACTCGTATACAGTAAACAGGAATTATTTGCTGCCTGGAGCACTGGCAGGGACAGCTACAGGAAGCATGGCATGCTGTTTCTTTGGTGGTTCTCGTGCGAGACGTGTGGATCAGCTCTCCTTTCTGTTTGTGGTTATAGGTTCTTCAGTTATTCCATCAATTTGCTGAGGAATGAGTATCAGGATATGAAATGAACGTCATAAAACAAGCTATTGATTTTGGGGCAGGTTCAACTTTCTTTTTGCTTACAAGACATTGGTTGCAAAGATTTTATGTAACACATTCGCATATGTCCCAACGCTCTGCGGTCAACGAAGCACTTTATCGAGGGTACGGACTCAGTGCGCTTCGATAGCGCCCTCTGAAACCAGTTGTGGCGGTGTCGGCCATGTGCAACCCAACCCCATCGTTCCGTCAGCTTAATGTACCGCGATGACTTTTACCCACTCAAAAATCGAGTGCTATGTTGAGGACACATGGGAAGGAAGAGGTCTTGTAGTGTGAATGATAGAATCATGTAATGAGATACCACACATTCACCCTTCAGTCTTCACACACACACAAAACGCCCACCCAGTGCGTAGCGTTGTGCTGATGTAGAGGAAAAATGGGAAGCAGCATGTGTTCGAATCACAATGTAATACCAGATTTCAGCCTCACGGCTGAGAAACATTATCCATTCACGCATTCAGAGATTACTATTGGCAACCTGTGAAAATGAGGGGAAACGTCGGCAGCAAGATTGTCCGACCTCATCATTCAGCATCTGTTCACTAACCTTGCGTTCCTGTGCTCCTGCATCTGCAACGACCATACTGATGATGGTGTTCATCCTCCCATGCATGTTCTTTTGTACATACCTGTTATTTCGCCTGAAGCAGAAACGGTATCACAGCACGAGTCATAAGCCCGACTTGTGAAAAGCTGGTCCCTCACCATCACCGCAAACATCACACTGTGTGCATTGACGAAGCCATCCACTAGCATGAGGAGAGCATCCCATCGTATTCAAGCTCAGACATGTCGCTGTTTCAAGTTTACACGGCCTACCTTGTTCAAACGTGTCCCCTTAACAATGATAATTCACGCGTGGACATGGGTAAACGACGAGTCGCGTTGGCTCAGACTCGAAGCTCAAGCAGTGAAAGTCCGCTTCAAGTGACGCATTTCGAGAATCTGGACTGCCGCTGTCGAGGTGATTCTAAGCCTACTACACCAGCTGTGTAGATCACGAGCCCCTCTTACTCTAGTATGTAATGCGGCAATCACCCGTCGCCTCTGAGACTTTCACAACTCTGACTTATAGAGATCATTGATCCTGACACCAGAAAAAAGTCGACCTTCAGGCAAGTAGCATCTCGTAAAATGACAGTGTCAGAGGACTGATCACACCGGTAATTGCGGGTCGCGCTTCCGATCCTTTAGTACTACTAAGAAACCTCCATCAGATCTTAACAATCGAAAAAACACTCTGTCAGATCGAATTCGCTACTCTGGAGACCCATTGCTACTGAATTTGGTTCTTGTTGATGATCGACAGGACATGAGAGACCAGCTTGACACTGATTTGCTCACCCCAACCTCCACACCACACCTACCTTCTCACACTCTCTTCATTTCAGCAATCAATAGAACGGGGAGGTATGCTCGTTGGCGGGAAATTTTCAAATTGTGGAACTTGGTTCCGTGAAAGTTGGAAACGAGCGTCGCATTCCCCACGATCACGGGAGACAGGTATAACTCTCTTGGACATGATTCAATGCCAGGGGAGAAAACTGTTTATCCAGCGCAGCAAAAAGATCTCGAGTCCCGACGCGTGCTGAAGAACTGTTGCGATCTGATGGGTAGGGCGGTGGACAGAAAAAAGCAAGCGAGAAGGTGGGATGGGAGGAGGCTACCAAAAGCTTGTGATCAAAGGTGGAAACATGCTTTGAAACGAACTTGACCGATTTTCACCTACAGATGGCAGGCTGTGCTTGATGGGCATCAGGTGGATGGCGTTATTCCACGCAAATTGGCTGCCAAGATGCGAGTCCCTCCCAGAAAAGGAACAGGCCAAAGGAAACCGGAACCCGAGCGGAGCGAAGGGGAACGCGGGGGTGGTGAAATGGGGTGTTTTTCCCGCCCATACGCTTTGGGGCCAGTTTGCTGTGGGGGCCACCTGGTTTCCCCCCACTTGGTTGTGTGGGGGCCAGCCCCACTTCTGCTTGATGCGGATTGGAAAGGTTGGCGCATCGCATCAGAGGTCCCCAGATTCCCACCGTGGCAGGTGCACCAACCACCGAGCACCATCTCCAGCAATCTTGGCCATCACGTTTCGCTGACGGGGCTCTGGTGGTTCGCTTGCGAGATGGGAAAATGCCTCGGAACAGGTGGCAATCTTGACGAGAATTACGGGACAGCACAGCAAGATTATGCGAACAACTTTCTGCACATCGACGGCTGTGAAGACACCACACAGGTACTGTGCTGGACAAGACATCGCCGTGCGCTGTCGCACAGACCACGCGAAACACACCAACATCACGGCGCCGATCGCCAGATCCACTCCACGTACGCAACCAGCACCAATCAGCGCAGCGCTCGCTCAGGAGGAATCAGCCACATGGGCTTTCCCCGCCCTTGCTGACGCGGTTGGTGTGCCTTTAATGCTGGAACAGTAGCTCACGTGGCGGAACAGCTGTGCGGAAGCTCCAGGTCGCGCCTTGGGATTGGGGGAGGGAAGCGGAATTAGGTGGAGGAAATGTCTGGTGTAGCCAAGCGAAAATGCGTAGCCTGCTTGATTGCCCCTACAGCTTTAGGAAAATCTGAGAGTACAAAGCAGTCAGAACTGCCATTGTTCATTGTCATTCCGAAAAGTAGAGCGATTCTCAGCTACCTAGAGTCACCAGTCCAGATCTAAGCTTTCTTGTTAACTTCCTGTACCCGTAGATCCGCTATGGCTGCCGAAGCTCCCAAGGACGATAAAGTGGTACGCTTGAGCGCACATTCTCTCTGCACGCAACCACTTGCATTGTAGTTGATCAAGCCGAGCGTTCCTTCAAATTAAATTGCCTGGTATTACAACTGCTTTACGGTTCTGATCGTCTTTCCCAGGTGTTCGACCCAGCGGCCCAGTCAAGGAAGACCACGCGTGCGGGAGAGCACATTCAGAAGGTGAAGGACATTCCCGACTTCGCTCCCAAGGACATCTATGTCGCCAAGCTCGAGCCCAAGGAGGTTCTCCACAACCTCTCCGTCGCTGGTAAGCATCTGCCTAGAGTGACAAGCTGCAGCACTGCACATCCTTGGTTTTAACGACAATCTTCCTGCAGCTGTGGAGCTAGAGTAGTTCGTGGCTTGTTAGTCTGATCCCTGACATTCTGCTTTGGGTTCATTTGCTGTGGCGGTGATGTGATGCAGAGCTGTACGAGCAAGCCATCGCCCATGAGGAGGGCAACTTCATCGTGTCCACCGGCGCGCTGTGCGCCATCTCCGGCCAGAAGACTGGCCGCTCCCCCAAGGACAAGCGCGTCGTGAAGGAGAGGGACCACGCTGACGATATCTGGTGGGGCGAGTAAGTACCGCAATCCCTCTGCAATTCCACACATTCTGCAATTCCACACACCCACGTATTTCCACGAGGTTTCACACAATTCTCATTCCACCTTGTCGCGTTTTTCTTTTTCAAGTTCAGCTCCAATTTTCGTCAGATTCTCAAATTGTGCCATTGTTTTTTCAATGGCTGTTGCAGAGGGTCGCCCAACTATGAGATGGACGAGTACACGTTCATGGTGAACCGCGAGCGCGCCATTGATTACCTGAACACGATCGGCAAGGTGTACGTGCAGGACATGTTCCTCAGCTGGGACCCCAAGCTGCGCATCAAGGTCCGCATCGTCTGCGCGCGTGCCTACCACGCGCTCTTCATGCACAACATGTGAGTACCTTCACCCTCCCAACTTCAGTAACTCCGATCCTCGCAAATTCGGACTCTCTCGATCTCGTTGAATCTTGTCCGTGCACGGTGATTGGGCATCCTCAATTGATGCGGAGTGGTTCTCATTGGTTTCTAATCTCTCTCTCAGGTGCATCCGCCCGACGGAGGAGGAGCTCAAAAACTTCGGCGAGCCCGCCTTCACCATCTACAACGCGGGCCACTTCCCCGTGAACCGCCTCTCCAAGTACATGTCGTCCGGCACCTCGGTCGACATCGATCTCAACCGCAACGAGATGGTCATTCTCGGCACCGAGTATGCGGGCGAGATGAAGAAGGGGCTGTTTTCCCTCATGAACTACCTCATGCCCAAGCGCGGCATTCTCTCGCTCCACTCCGGTGCCAACATGTCCAAGGACGGCCAGGTCTCGCTCTTCTTCGGGCTGTCCGGTACCGGCAAGACGACCCTCTCCACCGATCCGAACCGGTATCTGATTGGTGATGACGAGCACACGTGGAGCGACGATGGTGTGGCGAACATTGAGGGCGGGTGCTACGCTAAGTGCATCAACCTGAGCAAGGCGAACGAGCCGGATATCTACAACGCGATCCGCTTCGGATCCGTCGTGGAGAACGTTGTCTTCGACCCGCACACGCGCGTCGTCGACTACAACGACGGCAGCATCACGGAGAACACGCGCGCGTCGTACCCCATCGAGTACATTGCGAATGCCAAGATCCCGTGCGTCGCGGGCCACGCCACGAATGTGATTCTCCTCACGTGCGACGCGTTCGGCGTGCTGCCGCCCGTCAGCCGTCTAACGCTGGAGCAGACCATGTACCACTTCATCTCCGGTTACACCGCTAAGGTGAGCACCGACGGGGGGGGTGCACATGCGCCAAGCCTGATGGGCGGCACGGGGGGTATGGGGTGATGCGTGGGATGGGTTAATGGGGGTTAGGAGCGGTGCATTCTGTGAATGCACTCGAATGCAATGACTCACTCCAACCAATGTGCAAATCAACCATGCCCGGAACACGCCTGCTTCAGAACTATTCGCATTTCTACATCCTCATCCCTCCTATTTAATCTACACGGCTTAAATTCTCCTAATTATCTATGCGTCCCTCCCCTTCAGGTGGCCGGCACTGAGATGGGCGTGACGGAGCCCGAGGCCACCTTCTCGGCGTGCTTCGGCGCGGCCTTCATGATGTGGCACCCGTACAAGTACGCGACCCTGCTCGCGGAGCGCATCAAGAAGCACGGCAGCACGGCGTGGCTCGTCAACACGGGCTGGACCGGCGGCGGATACGGCGTGGGGCACCGCATGAGCATCAAGCACACGCGCGCCATCATTGATGCTATCCATGATGGCTCGCTCGCCAAGGCCGAGACGGTCACCACGCCCGTGTTCAACCTGCTCGTGCCTACCACCTGTGCCAATGTCCCCAACGAGTGCCTGCAGCCCGAGACCCTGGTACGTCTCGCTTTCTATCCATGGAATCCGCGCTTGTCCTCTCTTTTTCATCTCTCTGCTCGGTGATCCCAGTGACGACTTCCTCTCACTGTCTGACCTCCTTTTGTAAACTCCAGCTGGTTCTGAAGCTGTCCCACACGCATTAATTCTTTCCCTTCTCCGTATCTCTCGATTGCTTTATGTTGACCCTTCTGTTTCAATCCCGCAGTGGGCGGACAAGGCCAAGTACCGCGAGACGTTGGAGAAGTTGGGCAAGCTGTTCCAAAAGAACTTCACCAAGTTCACCGAGTTCGAGATGGGCGGCACCTCACAGCGCATCCCGGACGAGGTGCTCAACGCTGGCCCCGTCCTGTAAAGCTCTCGCGCTGCTGCTAGCGCGGGGTTCTGCTATTTATTGCGCGGTTCAGAACGTTGTAGGGCTTTCCTGCAGCGTCACCCGGGACTAGGAAAGGGAAGTTGGATGGGTGTGGTGCGGTGCTTGTTGCGAGGGGGATCCTGGGATCCCTTTTTGCGTGTGCTGCGATGCATGCTTAGAGAAAATATGTTGCTGTTCTTTGTTCCCTATACCCCCCTTGTTAGCAATTTATTGGAGTTCTGACCTTGTCATATTGCCTTCCAGGCTATATCCCCCGGACAACTCTGCATACAGGATGTTCAGAAACTTTAATTGATCCCAGCTGAAGTATTGAAGTATTATCATAATTGAACTCAGGAATTAAACCGTTACCTCTGTAAATGATGCAGCAGCTGGTAGTAGCTGCCACAATTGAAATTGTTAGAGCAATATTATATTACTTCATGCACTTGCTAGCATACATAAGCATTTGAACCCAATTTCTGTTGCGATAGTTCGCAATAAATCGGGGCTATTTTTCTGACTGGCCGCTCGTGAGACAAGCACACCACACCTTGCACATGCTGTGAGCCTCCTCCAGCGCCCTTCGCTCGCGCCACTTGCGGCGTCTCCGCGTCACTCGTAGCGTCTCGCCACCACAGACTTCGCCGATGGAGTTTTGATGCATCGCAAGCAGAGTCCACCGTTTCGCAGTCAAAGCGCGCCGATAGACGCCTTGTGAGGCTCCTCAGAAGCAAGCAAAGCGCGCCGATGGACGCATTCCGCAACGCTGTGGACGCCGTCGCGGCGATCTTGCGCCGCGTGCTGCTGCGCGACCCGAGCAACCGACGCGAGGCGTGCACGTGGCTCGCGGCGCTAATCGGCCATGTGCACCTCCCGCCCGCGCTGCGCCGCGCGCTCGTCTGCCAGCTGGTGGCGCGCAGCGGATCGCTCGCCCCTGGTAAGGCCGGCGGGAAAGTGCGCCTGATTCCCGAAACACCCCCGTTTCCTATCCGCTCGCTTGTCTGCCAGCGGATCGCTGGCCGCTGGAGAGCTGGGGGGGAAGGCCGGGGGAAGGCCGGGGGGAAGGCCGGGGGGAAGGCCGGGGGGAAGGCCGGGGGAAAGGCCGGGGGAAGGCCGGGGGAAGGCCGAGGGGAGGTTGCATTTCTTCCCAACACCTTCATCCCACGTGCCTCTGACCGCTCTCTCATTCCACTCTCTCATTCCGCTCTCTCATTCCGCTCTCTCATTCCGCTCTCTCATTCCGCTCTCTCATTCCTCTCTCTCATTCCGCTCTCTCATTCCGCTCTCTCATTCCTCTCTTCCCTCCCCTGATCCACATCACTCCCCACACCCCTGCTCTTCCCCCATGCCCTCTACCCCCCCCCCACCCCCCCCCCCCCACACTATCCCCTTCCGCCTCCCCTCATTTCTCCCCACAACCCCCTTCCAAGTCGTCCCCTGGTGCCTCTGGCTTTTGAGGCGCCTCAAAAGTCGTCCCCAGGTGCCTCTGACCGCTCTCTCAATCCCCTCATGCCTCTTCTTCCCCACTTTGCTCCCCCACACCCCCGCACTTCTCCTATGCCTCTACCCTTTCCCCTTCCCCCCTTCCCCCCTCCTCCCCAAACCCCTCCAAGTCGGCCCCAGGTGCCTCTGATTCTGAACGCTCTCTGCTGCGCCAGCTGCTGCAGCTGCTGTGTGAGGAAAGGCCGAAAGTTGCCGCCCGGCTGCTGATGCATGACCCTGACCTCATCCGCTCGTTCTTTGCTGGTGAGTCAATGCAAGTCAACGCGAGATGATGTGAGACGATGTGAGACAATGCGAGTCAAAGCAAGTCTACGCTAGTTGAAGCAATCCAACCCTTTACTCCCAACCCAACCCTCTCCTCCTCCCATGCCCACCCTCACCACCTCATTCTTTCCGCACCACCCTCGCCTTTCCCCATCCCTTACCCAACAGCCAATCCTCGTCGCATTCTCCTGTGGTTTGACCATTTCAGCATGGGTTCTAGCAATCAAGGGAGCAGATGGGGGGAAGAGGGGGAAAGGAGAAGGGAGAAACAGAGACCAAGCGCCTATGCTGCCACTGCCTATGCTGGTTCTGGTTCTGGGTTGGCCCAAACCAAGTTGGCAGGGTCGGAAGCAGCTGGTGACGCTCTGCAACGGGACAGTCCTGGTTCAGGCCGGCTTGTCTTGCCGACCCGCGGTCTGGTTCGGAACCACAGGTTCGGCGCGCAAGCCTTGGCCGAGTTTGCGTTTGCGCACCGGGAGGAGCATTGGCACCAGTTGGTATGGGCAGGGAAGCATGCACAGACCCCTGTTACTGTGGCTGCCCGACCGCATTATTTCTGCGAGCTGGACATCTCGGGCACCATGAAAAACTTTTTGCGCGAGGTGCCCGATTTCTGGTCGTCTCACGAGCTTCGAAAAACTTTGCAAGACGGCGCGTTCTTGTCGCTGGATATCGGTTTTTTTGTAGAGGAGTTGGTGGGGAGGCTTATAAGGGAGATGGAAGATGAGTGGAGGAGGAGAGAGTGGGAGGAAGGAGTAGAGGAGGCGTTGCGCACTGTGAGTGGGGGTAGGATGGAGAGGAGGGAGGGCGATGGGAGGGATGGGAGAGCAAGGGAGGGGTGGAGAAGGGAGGAGAGAGTGCAAACGGAAATGCATTTGCAAATGCGTGAGGAAAGGAGAGGGAGACAAGGGAGAGAGATGGTGTATGAGTTGGTGGAAGACTTCGTTGACTGTGTTGACTGGGGTGTGCTGTGCTCTCGGGTAATGGCTGGTGCAGGGGAAGAGGGGCTGGAGGGTGTTGCTCGGGGTGTGTGGGGATGGGTGCAGAGCAGGAGGGCGGAGGAAGGAGGGGGGACGGGCAGGAGGGGGGGTGGGAGGACGCGAGAGGGTGATTGGGAGAGGGAGAGGGGGATTGAAAGGGGGAGGGGAAGTACTGGGGAAAGGGGAAGTGAAAGGGAAAGGGGAGAGAGAATGGGGAGGGCGAGGGAGAGTGAGAGGGGAGAGGGGAGCATGCTTATTGGGGTGTGCTGGGATGGAGGCGAGGCGAGGAGCAGAGGAGCGCATGGGGAAAGAAGGAAGGAGAGTAGGAGAGAGAAGGAGGAAAGGGAGAGGAGGGAGAAGGACGAGAGGAGGAGCAGCAGGAGGGAAAGAAACGCCAAGGCAGACTCCCTGTTTTTTGAGACTTCTCAAAAAACGTCACTCCCCTCTCTATTGTCTCTCTCTTCATTTGAGCGCTTGCTCCTCCTCGTGGCCTGCGCATGCCATGGCAGGCAGCTGGCTCTGCTGCTGCTGCGGGAGCCCGAGTGGGTGCACGAGCGGGAGGAGTTGACTGCGGTGCTGCACGGTTGCTTCTCGGGCTCTGCGGGGCAGCCACCTGGCAAGCAGCTACTGGATTATGTTCTGGGAAGCGGTGGGGAGGGGGAAGGAGAGGGGAGGGCGAGAGTGGGGAGCTGGAGGGATGAGGAGAGGGAGAGGGAGAGGGCTTTGGGAAGTGAGAGTATGGCAAGGATTGAGGTGGTAGTCGGCACGTGGATGGTCAGAGCACATCTTATGGCGAGTCTGGGGCAGGATGGAGGGCACATGGGGATGGATAATGGTAATTCGGCAGGGATGGGATGTATGGCAGGGAGAGGTGAGGCTGTGGGGGTGATGTTGAGGCGTCTAGGTGTTGCTGTGGAGAGGGTAGGAGGTGAGGGGGGGGTGGGTGAGGAGGGGTTGGGTGCAGTGGGCAGGGAAGGTGGGGTTGAGAGGGTGGGGGGTGGAGAATGCGGTGAGAAGAGGAGGAAGAAGAAGAAGAAGGAGAAGAAGGAGAAGAAGGGTGGGCGTGGCAAGTTGAGGCGCGGAGGGGGAAAGGTGAGTAGCAAGAGAAGGAAGAGGAGGAACAAGAGGGGGAAGAAGAGGAAGAGGAGACGGAGGAACGAGAGCAGCAGTGATGATGCCTCCTCTTCCTCCTCCGCTTCTTCTTCCTCGTCCTCTGCCGCTGCTTCTAGCGATAGTGAAACGTCCTCTGACAGAAACTCAGATGAGAGTGAGAGTAGCAGTGAGAGGGAGATTGAGAGCGAAAGTGGGAGGAAGAGTGACAAGGAGGGGACAAGCAGCAGTGGGGAGTCTCACAGGCTGAAGAAGAGGAAGCGAAAGAGGAGGCAGCATAGGAAGGGGAAAAGGAGGAAGGAGGAGGAGCAAGAGGAGGAGGTGGTGGGTGGTGCGGCGGCTTGGGCTGAAAGGGGAGGCCTGACTGAAAGGGGAGGCCTGTCGGCTGCTTCTAGCGACTGGAAGCTGCTAGTGGGTCCTCTGAGTCTCACTTGCAGCACGGTACGTGCCACTTGCAGCACAACATGTATGAAGGGTGGAAGGGAAGGGAAGAGAGAGGATCGAGAAGTTGGTTATCCAGCCTTTGTTGTCCACTATTGGTCTTGGGCTACATAGTTGCATACCTGTAGTATCCACTCCTCCCTCATCCAGATCCCTCGTTCCTTCCGTTCCTCTTTTGTGTGTTTTCTTTTCAGAGGGAGCTTTCAGATG